GTGGCATGGGGGCCGCTCCAGCCCAGCCACAGAGGGCTGGGGTGAGAGGGCACACCCATTTACGCAGTTAACGGTTTAAGTATAACATTTAACCAGTTAACCGATTAAATAGGATTTTACAGCTTTGATCAAATGTACCTGGTGTAGGTGTACAGTGCTAATAAAAGTCACTCAAAGAAAGGTCCTTGCTTTTAAACAAAACTTTTATCTACAACCTTAGCCAAATTCTCTGCTGGCATAACTCAACAGAGAAACTGATCCCATATTTCTCAGATGTACTGTACTGAATGTATTTTACTACATATAGCATTTTCAATAGACAAAATATTCTAGTCCCTACATAAGATTTCTAATCTTACCTTTATCAGACTTCTGACCACTTGCAGTTTTTGCATGATTCATTAATATCAATAAGAAACATATCTTCAGATTTATATACATTTCTTCTTTTTGAGTCCAAAGATATTTGGACTGCAAAAGAAAATAAAAAGTCAATGTCGAATGGCAATACTTGTCCTAAAGTTTCAACTATAAATTAAAAATGGATCTGAGATGCAATATTCAGAGTGAGAGCCTAATTTTTCTGAGATTCAGGAGTGTTTGGACCAAGGAATTTAGATTAGACTTCTCTCTAATATCATAAAATAAATAATAGCAATAAAAATAAAATTAAAATACCCACAAATTTGATATGTGCACTGTCATACTTCCCTTGTATTAGGCAGTCCTTTTAATTTTACTCTGGTAATATTCTAAATAAATTCCACCTAAAAGATTAACCCAGTTTAGTCAAGGTAATATGCAACTCTCTTTGAAATTTTGTAACTCTGAAACACTGATAATAAAATTAACAGTGAACCAAAATTTTGGATCATGGAAGATTTCAAACATTTGATTTTGAAAAGCCACCACCCCAATAGTCCTATTCATTCGACACAGACTAAAAAGCTCTGTGCACTTCTCATTCAGCTATCACATTCAGAGCTCTATGGGACATCTGTCGCATTCAAATATATCCAGTTTCCCAGACAATGAACTTTCTTGTGTTAGTTTCTGCATTTGCCCTAATAATTTTGCAGTAAGGTTTATAGAATTACACTGTACAGTTTAACATATTATTCCATCACCATTCTCAGTCTTGATTTAGTCCTTCAAACTAACTTGATCTGATGTGTGTATGATTTTGTTTAAATTAAAACATGTTCAATAAACCTATCAGGGATGAAGTGTTTAGGAGGGTGAGCTAAACTGGGCAACTAACAGTTGCATGAGAAAACACTGCCAATAAATAGCCTTATTTAACCACAGTTTTTATTGGTTTGCTAACCACTGAATACATCAAACAAAAATCAGGCAAAAAGAGTTAATCTTATAAGTACCTTTAAAAAAATTTATGCCTATGCCATTCCCCCTTCCAAGGGGTGAGATGCAGAATGTGTTTTGTATTTAGATAATTCTTTTCATGATTTTTTTACAGGGCACTACCATAATTTGTATTTGCCTTTTTAATTCCAAACAGCAGTGTTTCGAAATTCCTGACTTTTTATCACTATGTTAGTTGATGCAAACTGCACCCTAACTGAAGTCTGCTTGCTTGTCTTAGGTCAGTGTTATCTCAGACAGCTAGTCTCAATACCCGCAGGTAAGACTACTTACTGATACAGAAACCCAATCCATTTCATCCAAATTATCCCAACCAGTGGCTCTGAAACTTTCCAGTCTACCATACCCCTTTCAGGAATCTGATTTGTCTTGCCTGCCCCCAAGTTTCACCTCACTTCAAAACTACTTGTTTACAAAATCAGACATAAACATATAGCAGTGTCACAGCACATTATTACTGAAAAAAAATGTTTCCTTTCTCACTTTTACAATATAACTATAAATCAATTGGGAATGTCTATTTTGTACTTACATTTCAGTGCATATACCTAGAGCAGTAGAAACAAGTTATTGTCTGTATGACATTTTAGTTTGCACTGACTTGGTGAGTGCTTTTCATGTAGCTTGATGTAAAACTAAGTAAATATCTAGAGGGGATGATGGACTTTCTTGGAAGAACTTTGGGAAATCCCAGGAGTAAATCAACCCCTAGCTGAGACTCACAGATCCCAAAGGTTTAACAATCTTTGCAAACTATTTACCAACTACTATCTAGGGATGACTACAGGCATTTACACATTGCATGGCAACACCCCGCAGGGGAAGGACGGAATTGAAGAAACACCTGGCTTAGCTGACTTACCTTACAGCGGATGATTATTAATTGTTATTAAGCAAGGCAGACTAGTTACTGAACTACAATTCAGTCACAACCCCCGCCTGAACAGAACCACCTGGACCCAATCTGCGCATGTTGCCATGTGCAAAGATCGCCCCCCCGAAGGTTTCCCCACCTTCCGAGCCAGAGGATCCCAGGAGCACTGGGCGGCCAGAGGGGTCTATCCCCACCGACGCCAGCCCAGGTACAGCAGGATCGTCCCGCTTCGCGCCTTCCCACAGCTACGCCAGCTCCGGCGGCCCCTCTCCTCTGTCAGGGGCGCCTGTGGGAGGCGGGAGGAGCGGGGGCGGGAAAGTAGGACGACAGAAGGGCGCAGAGCCGGGGAAGAACAGGAGGGGGGCGGGGGAGTTGGCGCTGCTGGGTTTCTCACGGGCCACAAGTGCCCCTTGGGCAGGGCCGGCCGTGGGGCTCACCTCAGGCGGGCTCCCCTCCCGCGGGGCAGGCAGGAGGCGGCCCCCTGGGGATGGAGCGTTTTTCTTGTTCTCCTTTGCTCTCAACACCATTCCGTAAATTTGAACGCGGACCCAAATCGGAGAGGGAGCCAGGATGCTGATCTATTTACGGTGCCTTGTGTCCCAAGCGATCCCAGAGCCAGCGTAAAAGTCACCCCCTCCAAATGACACATTAAGGGCTGCATTTTCCCATCATTCATATACACAAAAGAAGCTGGCTAGTTCTAACTTGACTAGTCTGCACACCCCACCGTGTACACCGCCCCTTTTCTCCACAGCTGCTCTACCTTTCTGCCAAAATGTAAACAGCGACTGCTGAAGTGAGAATTATTACTATTAAGATTTAATTACGGTTACGTTCGAAAACATTTACTCTTCCATAGAACAAGTGATTAGGCGTTATGGCTTTATGATGAAACTTTCCAAAGAAGAAACACAACAATGAAACCCAGTTCTTTCAATCTTCCTTCTTAGGGCCTCTTTCCTAGACTTTTAATCGTGTTTGTTGCTCTTCTCTGGACTTTCTCCAATTTGTCCACATCTTTCCTGAAATGCCATGCTGAGAGCTGGAATCTAGTTGAAGTCTATCTGTGCAGAGCAGAGGGAATTAACTTCTTATGTCTTGATTACAACACTCCCACTAATATAGGGGCAGGCAACATAATTCTAGTCACACCTCTGGATCTGGCATAGACCCTCAGGCATAAAACAGCCAACAGGCATCAGCTTATTGGTTCAATGGTTAGTCGGTTACACTCTAACATCCCTATATGTAACTAGTTCCATTAGTGTATGAGTATTTTAAGCTTAGCTTGTATGTTGTTCTATTATTCTTAGTAATCTACTTTTTTCCATGTACTCTTTTAACCACTTAAATCCTACCTTTTTATACTTAATAAAATTACTTTTGTCTATTAACAAATCCAGTGTAAATTATTGTTACTTGGGGAGGCAAGGAGTGTGTGCATCTCTCTCTTTTATATTGAGAAAAGGCAAATTTCGTGAGCTTATAGTGTATGAATCTCTACATCATAAAAGGATTTATCTAGGGTTCAGCTCTCCAAGGGGCGGTGTATCCATGTGCTAAGGATTTGTCCCTCTGGCTACATCTAGACTACAGAGACTCAGCCGCAACCAGGAGCGGACGTACTCTTTCGGAAGAGGAGGTTTTTCCAAAATTTTGGAAAAGCCTCTTCCAATAAAAATTTGTAGTCTAGACATAGCCTCACTATATTGTCTTTATTATAAGCAGAGGGGTGTGGGCCTTCCCTGTGTCTGTGCTGTGGCAGACTAGAGAGTCATACTCAGCAAGACAGGATTGCAGAGTGTCAAAGCTATTACAGGGCAAGCTTGCTCAGCCAGAACCATTGCTGTGGGTTGGGGGCAAAGGAGACAAGTGTCCTGGGGCCCAGCAATTCAAAAGAACCTGGTCTCCTGGCAGCCACTACTGCAGCAGTGACTGGAGCTCTAGGCCCTTTAAATTGCCACCAGAGCCCCAAGCAGCCCACTCTTGTGTGGTGCTGCAGGGTGGCAGGGAAAGGCTAGCCCCCCAGCCCTGCTCCTTCTGGGAGCACAGAGCTGGCCCACCCTTCCTTTCCTAGAGGCCTGGCAATTCTATCAGCCCCCTGGGCTCAGTGGTGTCTCAGCACATCAGGTGACTGACCCAAGTGGGTCCTGATCCATCACAGCACAATTATCCATCATACCTGAACTAACATTTTTGTTCAGCTTTAGTATATTTAAGAATTGCGCTTAGTTAGTGAGATGGGACATTAAATTGCCTTATTTGAGAGGTCAAATTTTTCACCAATGCTGCTCTCAAAATTGGGTGTTCAAGAATTGAGATCACTATATTTCTATAAGGGTGCATCTACACCGCACCCTAAACTTGAAATAAGATAAGCAATTTGCGTAGCGGAAATTATGTATCTTATTTCAAAATAGAATCGAAATAGCTTATTTTGAAATTTGGCGCATCTATGCAGCACCAAATTTCAAAATGCAGTGAGGAGTCCTGTGGCACCTTATAGACTAACCAAAGTGTTGGAGCATAAGCTTTTGAGGGCAAAATGCATCTGACAAAGTGGGTCTTTGCCCACAAAAGCTTATGCTCCAACACTTCGGTTAGTCTATAAAGTGCCACAGGACTCCTTGCCACTTTTTGCGGATTCAGACTAACACGGCTACCCCTCTGATAAAATAGCTCACTATTTCGAGACATCCCTTAACCCTCATGGAATGAAAGTTACAGAGATGCTGAAACAGCGCACCTGTTATTTAGAAAAATATTTCAAAATAATGGGCAGTTTGTGTAGATGCGGAGTTGCTATTTCAGGATTCCTCCAGTATCCTGAACTAGTCGCACAATGTAGATGTACACTAACAATTAAATAAATGATCTAGGAAGTGTAAGGCTGCTGCCTCCTTATCCAGCCAGTGAGCTGTGCAATCCTCCACTAGCTCTTTTCATAGCACACAATATATTTTAAATTGCAATTTTTCTAATTTTAAAACAAAACCCCCAAACCTTTACTTAACAGCATTTCAAACAACACTCAGATAATCCTCCTCTGAGGAATTCTGATGTAGCAGTTCTGGTTTCTACCAGCAATGAAAGCATGGTTCTGAAAAACAGGCAGGTCTGGATTACCATATTCCAGCGAAACTACCAATCAGAGCCAGAAGTCCTATGTATCTTAAAAATAAGAAGTTTCTTTCTGAAAGTTACACAATTAAGGTATGTCTACACTTGCACCCTAGTTTGAACTAGGGATGTAAATACAGGCATTTGAAATAGTCAATGAAGCGGGGATTTAAATATCCCGTGCTTCATTAGCATGATCTCGCCGGCGCGCTAGTTTGAATCACAGCTGATTCAAACCAGGAAGTGCGCGCTGAGATGTATTAGTTCGAACCAAACCCCTTGGTTCAAACTAATGTTACTCCTCATTTTTCAAATGCCTGCATTTGCATCCCTAGTTCAAACTAGGGTGCAAGTGTAGATGTACCCTTAGAGATCAGATTTATTAAAATTAGCATTGAGGTAACATTTCACAGGCACACAACTCAATATGTAGAAATCTGTCTATATGTGAGATTTCAGATGATTAGGAATAATAATGAACAATTTATATAGTCCATTATCCAAACTATTTTCTCTCATATTAATGATATAAGGGCAACATAACCCCAATTCAGCAAATGGGGGATTTAAAATCAAAGGTTTGGAGGTTCTATAGTAGGTGAGATGTGCAGTTAAGATGATCTGTGGACACCATGAACTAGTTTCTATGGACAGATTTTAAAAGGCATTTAGGAATCTAAAAATGCAGAAAGGTGCACTTGGGAGGTAGGTACCAAAATTCTGTATCTTTAGGCACCTCCGTTTCTAACAAAATCTGATCTTAAATCCATTAAAATAGTTTTGTTTTTATTTCAAGCAAAATGTGAAACCTGAGATGGCAAACGTTCAGTGAATCAGTTCTAATGGCTTGAAACTTCAAAGTCTCTCTCCTGTTAAAGTAACTAACTTTGATTTTACCTTAATCTTGTTTATAAATAATCTGAACTACAGAAATCCAAATTAAGGATGTTAACTAGCAGTTAATTGACTAGTTATGTAGTCAATGGAATTTCCATTGACTACTCAACTAGTCGATAGGCACTTCCGCATTCCTCCTTTGAAATGGAGGAATTTGGAACTCCGCGTGCAGCCCAGGGCCAACAGGAAGTCCCACTGGCTCCGGGCTGCACATGGGTGCCAGCTTTGAAATAAACAAGAGACCCGAGCGGGTGCTCTTGGGCATTTAAAGGGGCAGCACAGCATAGAGCCCAGGTTCAGAGTCCCTCGCTGACCCGGGGCTCTATGCTGCACTGCCACTTTGAAATGCCACACGGAGCCGGGTCTGCTGGGGACTCCCCAGCTGTCCACGGGTTCCCTGCGACATTTCCCCAGAACCCAAGGTCAGCTGGGGACCCACAGCCACTTTCAAGTACCCCTTTCCCCTCCCCCTTTGCTGCCTCCATGTTTTTCACTTACCTGTGGGCTTTGGTCACCTGCCCCAGTCAAACCTAGTTTAAAGCCCTCTTCACTGGGGTTAGCCAGTCTGTATCCAAATACTCCCTTCCCCTTCCTCGATAGATGAACCCCAACTCTGCTTAGCAGTCCTTCTTGGAACAGTATCCTGTGGTTAAGGAAGCCAAAGACCTCCTGGCGACACCATCTTTGTAGCCACGCACTCACCTGCAGGATGCACCTATGAAAGACTGAAGAGAACACCAAATGCACTCCAAACGCCTTCACCCGTACTTCCAGAGCCTGGTAGTCACTCTTGATCCACTCAAGGTCACACCTTACAGCAGGCCTGGGCAAATACTGCCCGTGGGCCACATCTGGCGCGCCAAGCCCCCAGATCCAGCCCATGGAGGCAGCAGGGAGCCCCAGGCTCCCCAGCTTGCTTTGCAGCCCTGCACGCCATGTACAAAAGCGGCTGCGGGGCGCTGTTTCTGTTTTGAAACTGGAGGGGAGGGGAGAAGTTTTAGGAGCTGCCCCGCTCCAGCACATTCCCATTGGCCAGTTTCTTATAGAAACCACCCAATGGGAGCTGCTTTTTAGAATAACAGGCAGCTAAGAAGAATCACGTTCCCACTCTTGGACTCAGTTATTCAAGAAGCACATGGCTAGGCAAGCAGGCAGTCTAGTTTGGCAGCTGACAAGTAAGTCTCTTGGCCACAGCCTGCTTCTGGCACCCGTGCCCTTTCCTGCCCCCAACTCTCTGCCCCCCCACTCAACATACCCAAACCCTCTGTCCCCCTCTTACACCCAGACCCCCTCCAAGATTTGGCACCCCAATCTCCTGCTCCAGATCACAATCCCTTCCTACCCTAGGTCACATCCCAAACCCCTGCACTCCAGTCCCCTGCTCTAAGGTCACAACCACCTGCTTCATCCCAACTCCCTCCCATACCCCAGTCTCCCAGTCCCATACCCCAAGCTCCCTTCTGCACCCAACCTCCATTCCAGACCCTGCATCTCCATTAATATGTAAGAGCAGCCCTTGACCACTTTCCAAAATCTTGGCGTGCTCCCCCCCATCAAAAATTATTACCCAGCCCAGCCTTACCCTTAGTGCCCACATGGATGAGTAGCATGTGGTAGAAGTCAGGGGGCTGGATAATCCTTGACAATGCCTCCATAACGTCTCGGATATGGGCCCTGGCAGGCAGCATACCTCCCAAAATGTCATGTCAGGGTGACAGATGGTGCCCATGTCCCCCTCAGAAGAGAGTCTCCAATCACCACTACCCTATGTTTCCTCCTTGCAGTGGTGGCAGCAGACCTCCCAGCCTTGGGGGTACAAGGCTTCTCCTCTTCTGCCTTAGGAGGTGATTCCTTGTCTCCCGTATCCAGAATAGCGTAACAGTTTCCCAGTACCACAGTGGGAGGGTTGGGGGCAGGAGTGGAGCACTGCCTGCTGCCAGAAGTTACCAGCTGCCAGTGTTCCCCCTGAGCCATCTCCTCCTCCACCAGTCAGCAGTCTTTTGTAACAGGATAACTTCCTCAGCCTCAGCTGTCTCCACATGAATATTCGCAAGGAGTTATGTAGCCAGCATGTCAAAGACAGCTACTGAGAAGAGCCTATGTAAAAGAAAGTCTGGAACTGATCCCTTCTTGGGCAGATTCAATTAAAGCTTCAGTGAAACTCTGGAAGGGGAAGATTAAACTGCTTAAGTTAAACTAAATGTTTTGATCAAACATGTGGAACATGGAGACCATAATGTTGAAAGGAAGGTAATTATCCTTGCAAACATGCATGTGTATGGATGAGGCACGAGGAGTCCTGTGGCACCTTACAGACTAACACATTTATTGGAGCATAAGCTTTCGTGGGCAAAGACCCACTTCGTCAGATGCATGTGTATGGATGGAGGATCTCAAGTGAAAATTCCTACCTTAGCCTTCCACGGATTGAGCAAATTTTCTCCAAAGGATCCAACTCAAAGAACGGTCATGTATCAACTTGACCCTATCCATCCGTTTAAGGAACAGCTTTCATAAGTCTTGACTAACCCTCATTACTGATGTGCACAAAAGCAGGGAGGATGTAGGAGATTGAGAAGTACATAGAAGAACCCATCCACTAATTATTTTTTTAAAAAATGGATTGCATTAGTCTTCAAAACAATAATTAAATCCCATTAAATGAAACTTAGTTGTATTGCTACAGGGTTCTTTTATCGATACATGTAACAGTTTTTGCAGACAAGCATGGCTACATTTCCATAAATGAACACAAAAATTATTGCAAGGTCATCTCAAAAAAAGTTTATTAGCATGATTAAAAAGATGTGCTGAAGAATGACAGTCAGAGATAAAATAACTTCTTAACATGGAAGAATATCCATTCCAACTCTTTATAGTCGACAATGCTCTGAACTGCAGAGATAGCTTTATTGCCAGTTTTCACTTGATTTCTTAAAGAACAATCCATACTGTATATTGGCTCATGTATCATAATGACTATTGCTTTTGTCTGGTTATGATCCCTACTGCAGGTAAGTATAAAAATATCTTCCATTAATGTTGGATTGCAGACTGCATTGTTGGGCTAAGAGTTGGTAAAAAATCTCAACTGAAGAGTCTGTTTAAAAAAAAACTGTCCTTTTTAAAGATACTACAAAGAAATACATTAGTATTTTGGCATTTAAAATTCTTACATGATATTTATTTAGAATGGCAATCCCAAAATTCCCTCCCATTAAGTAATCATAAATCAGACACCTCTTTCAGAGGCTGCTTCTTGGGTTTGACTTTGAAGACTTCTACTTCATACACGCTTACACCGGCTTGAGGACGAAGACAGCATCATCTAATACATAGTAGTCATTATACATATCACCTTCACATAAGTATGGCAGTCTGGTGAAAGCCTCTATGGCAAAACCAGCTTTTCTGAAAACTTCTGGCAGGCTATTCACCTGTTCTTCCCAAGTCTGCCCCTTGATTTCCAAAATTTCTGAGGGTTTTTCCCACTTGCCACCTACTGAGAAAACAAAATAACAGTATTTAAATTTTTTAAAAGGACCCTTTCCAATGTACGGCAGTATCTTGAAGAAAGCATTCTATGCTGCTTACATTCCATTCAGGAGTTTATGTTCCACCCCAACACATGATGGGTAAAGCATTTGTAGGTATCTATCTGAAGACCACAACATTCAAAGGTCCTGTTTGAGTTAGAGGGAGTTTTCCCCTCCCCTCCCCCAGCTCATATTTTGTTGAATCCTTTACTAATAGTTCTACATTAAAGCTCATTTGGCCACATAACTATTTGATTCAGAATAGTAAGATCATCTAGTGACACTAAGATTTGGCACATGTCGCTTGAGAAACTAAAATTTTGGCCAACATTAAAATACTTTCTCATTCTTATTGGAGATACTCCGTTCCTGCAGCTGGCATCAGCTAGTTATAATAAATAACGTGAAGTGCTGACAACCAGAATTTGCTATTATTAATAATTATTGAGGAATACTGTGACCATACTACTAGCTAAAAATCCCTGTTTCCTTGTGCCCCAGCCCCCCAAAAAAATCCACCTCAAGAGACTCTGCACCAAACTAGAGAAGAAATCCCTGAGAGTCCCGTTGAACAGTGTCTACTGAACCTCTGTTCATTCAAGGGCCATTTTGGTAACTGAGAAGGGAAGGGTTATTTGTTTAGGATCCTCCCAAAAAGGAAATTAAGTTCCAGATACCTTTATATAATGAAAAATATGTTGTCACTTGTTATAGCCAATGAAATCATCACAAGCAACTCAACAATATAGTAGTTTTAAAATAAAAAAAAAAAACACTTGTCAAAAGAATAGATTTTCACTAGTCCCATCTAACTGAAAAATGTAAATTTCATTACATTTAAATACATACTGCACCTTTAAGAAATGTACTAAACATGTTTAATTCTTGTAAATATATGCAAATAGGAAGTGTCTGAGTGTGAGATGTAGAGAATTGAGTAATTTCTAAAGTTTCCTGATTAGCTTCCTCTTTTTTTTTTTTGAGCAGAACCATTTCAGGACAAACACACCAAGAAATGGCACCTTTCAATAAATGCAAAGCCGTGCTAGTGTTGGAATTCAACTGGATTCTATACAACATTGGTAAGGCATTTTATTTTTCATCTTACTGGCTTCTTCACCTACTTTAAAAGAGATTCACATAAAATTTCTTACACAGATTAAAAATGCAGTTCTCATTTGGAACAAGTCTGTAAAGTGCTAAGAGGCAAGAAAATCTGCTTTGCAGTTAGCTAATTTCTGCTGTCTTCATAAAGTTTCCTAATCAAATGAATATTAATGAAAAATTGTTCTTCAAAAGGATTATATAAAGTGCTCTCATAACCTACGACCATATCGACAAATCCTCCCCTTCCTGCACAGCAGACCCCTGATACAGCTAAATGGCTGCAGTTCTGCTCTACTGGGTTGGTAGGACAAGGCTTTTGGTAACCCAATGCACAGTGTCTACACCAACTAAATGTTACAGCATTCTGCTTCACAGGGGCACCATCCACCTCAGTGTACAGTGAGGTCAGGGCAGGGACAGAGAGATTAGTCAGTTTGTGGATGTACTATACCAGCCAATCGATACCTTTCACAGAGGGAATGCATCTGCTGTTGGCTAATGCATCCTCAGGGAAGCATAGTGACCATGGGATGGCTCTGCTGCTAACTTGTGGCACAGAAAAAAAGAGAATGACTTCTCTCTTCCTGCGGAACCCCCATGCACTCATCTTGCCTGGATTTGGTTCACCAGAAACTCAGTACAAATATGAAGAGTCACATATCTAGACAATATTGTTGAGTAGTAACATTCTTTGCTATCTTAACTTTACATTTTACTGTACTTGAGTACATACAATACATAATTTGTAACAATTCAAGATTTGATTAGAAATATAAGTCCATTTCAATTGTTTTGTAATTTGTTTTCTAAATACTTTCTAGAAACTAAATTATATAATGTTGGTTTAGCAATATCTATTTCCACAGTCTCCATGCCAATTATCTACATTTTAGGCATTTAACCATTATTTTGATAGAATTATCTTGGCATATTTAAGTTTATTACAGTTATGGATTTCTATAATAGCTCAGTAAAAATGCATTTGTCATAAGTTACAGTAAACAGAAAGCTTGTGAGTTGCTGATGACTCAAATGAAGTTGCTGATCATTTAAGGAAGTTAAATCAAGTTCTCTTTCCTGCTTAATCTTTCCTTGCCTTCCTTTCTCTGAATATTGCTTAGTTTTTTAAGTGCCAGTACTAGCACATGGTACTGCTGACCTGTGAAACCCATGATCAATAAGCAATCACATTCATATTTACTTGTGGGCATATGAAAAGCATTAAAAAGTTCAAAATGGTATTTGGACCATGAGGCAGTCTTGGAATCATCCAAGAAGAAACTTCCTGAAAACAACAAGAGATCCCATGGTTGGCATATCACTGTTTTTTACTCCTCTAGGTAAATTCAAGGTAACTTGTATTTATTCTACAACATCTCTTAGTTGAGTGATAGAGAATTTAAAAGGTTTTTTTTTCCCCTCAGCAGGTCATGCTGTAGACACCTGCAATGTTATCATAACACAACACCCACTTAAGGAAGTAGACAACACTGTCAACACTGTGAACATAACGTGCCGTTTTTCTGCTTCCAACTGTTCTGGATCCCAGCCTCAAATTCTATGGTTTCGCTATTTTGCTTTTACACATGAGGCTTTGTGTACACCTACGTGCACAGATACACAGAAGTTCACAGTTGAATCAAATTCTTCACTTCAGATCAAGAAACTGACCATAAATGACAGTGCCATTTATATCTGTGGAATAGCATTTTCAGATTCAAATGCAACCACATCTAAGCAAGTTGGGAATGGAACAAAATTGGTGAAAAGAGGTTAGTCACTAATTCCTATGAACAATCTTAATAGAAAAGATATTTTAAATATCTCTAATTATTTGCACTTGCAAATCAGTATTCCCTTTATGCTGAGTGCTTGAGCGGCTGCCTTGGAGAGATTTAAATGTTGCCCATTCAAATGATTGGCAGAAGACCCAAGGCAGACAGCATGTGTTTCCAAAGGTGGTACACATCCATGCTATGGGACAAAACATTTATTCTGCACATGGAACCCTATTGCTCTCTTCCCCAAACAGAGTTCCATACTCTCCCTACGTTCTTTCCACCATGCACTGTGCTAAAAATCCTGAACAAGCACATGAGCCTTCTTCAGACTTGTTCCTCAATGGTTAGATTTTAGACCGGCAGAAGCTTAGGGTGATAAGAGAACAAAATCCCATATTAAGGGCTCTCCATCAAAAATACCTGGTCTCTTGTTCCCAACTGTTTGAGTCTAGTGACTCTTATCAAGTGTCCCAGCTGATAAGGAGGAAAGAGGTCTCTTACAGTCAAGAACCAAGATGGAAATTAATACCAAGAATGACTAAAGTGAATTTGTAAGCATGCAGTATCGAGTTCCTTAGATGAAATGGCTATACAAATATTATTCTAAAAATATAATCTAAACAGAACAGTTTCCATTATTCTAACACTGTTTATTATGACTAAAGGGCCTGAGAAGGACAGCACAGAAGTATATATCCTCATGATAGTCCTCTCATCTCTGCTCTTTTTATACAACACTGCCATATTTGCAGTCATTATATTCTACAAGGTAGGTTTAGTTTTAACTTTTCATATTTGGTTTGTTTTCATCCAGATTACTCAATAGCTTTAATGTTTTCATCAAGAGCTAAGGGTCAAAGAATTTTAATTACTTTTGCATCACACATGGCAAACGAGTTTTACAGAGGTTGTGTTTGAGGATTATACCTCATATGCATCTATACACTCTCACACACAGATTAGACACTTAGTATACTCATTACATCTCACACATCACTTTCCCTTTGAAACTCTCTTTATAAAAAAAAAAAATGGGTAAGGCAACAGAAACCCAAACTATTCTTGGAACAATCTACCGCAACTTTGGTATACATTGCCAGAAGTCATTTTGTAAATGAGTCAGATTATCAAAAATACAAAAAGTCTGATAAGATTCAAATAATATTTTGAAAGAAAATAGTTAGCAAATAAAGAGCATTACTAGCAATAAACAGATTGTAAACTCCATGAATTAATTTCCATTGGTAAACTAATAATTACATTACTCTACAATACTAAATGCAAGTGCAATGAAATTATTTCAAGCAATACTTTTACTTCCATAGTGAAGTCCTATTCAAAATGTTGTAAGATGCATGGAAAAGGATATTGGAAAAGAATTGCGGGGCATCTTAAACTTGGAAAAGCTCTCCCAGAACCAGAGAGAAAAAGAGTTGTGCATGTTTAATGGGGATGTTAGAGTTTAACCCAGGGAAGGGCAACCTAAGGCCCAGGGGCCAGATGCCCTGAGGGGATGGAGCACACAAAAATCTACTAGCCTGGGCCTCCTAGCCTCTGGTGTGTGAGAGGAATGTGGGGCGTATCTTTTTATTTCTATGTTGCGGGTCACACCAGAGAGAGTTTTGTTTTGAGTTTTTTTCTCACTTTTGTGTGGCCCCTGACTGATTTTTCTCTGGATCCGCAGCCCCGATTCAAAAAGGTTCCCCATTCCCGGGTTACATGGCTAACTTATTAAACATCTTAACATCCCGAATGTTTAAAATGTACTCAGTTACAGACTAACTCGGCTACCCCTCTGAAGTCAGTAACAGGAAAAACTTAAAAAACAACAAATAGTCTAGTAGCACTTTATAGACCAACAAAACATGTAGATGGCATCATGAGTTTTCATAGGCACTTCTTCTGAAGAAGCGAGTTATGCCCATGAAAGCTCATGATACCATCTACAATGAAATCTTTGTTATGCAGCACTCTGTTAACCAGAAAACTTTGTTAACCGCCATTGGCCCCAGCCACAATACTGTCACATCTTCAGGTGTACAGGCCTGGCTTGGTTTACCATGACTGGCTTAATTTTAAGAAGTACTAATAGTCTTTACATAAGAACGGCCGTACTGGGTCAGACCAAAGGTCCATCTAGCCCAGTATCCTGTCTGCCGAGAGTGGCCAGCACCAGGTGCCCCAGAGAGGGTGGACCAAAGATAATGATCAAGCGATTTGTCTCCTGCCATCCCTCTCCAGCCTCTCACAAACAGAGGTCAAGGACACCATTTTATCCCCTGGCTAATAGCCTTTTATGGACATAACCTCCATGAAATTATCTAGCTTCTCTTTAAACTCTGTTATAGTCCTAGCCTTCACAGCCTCCTCTGGCAACGAGTTCCACAGGTTGACTACACACTGTGTGAAGAAGAACTTTCTTTTATTAGTTTTAAACCTGCTACCCATTAATTTTATTTGGTGTCCTCTAGTTCTTCCATTTAGGGAACTAATAAATAACTTTTCTTTATCGGCCCTCTCCACACCACTCATGATTTTATAGACCTCTATCATATCCCCCCTCAGTCTCCTCTTTTCTAAACTGAAAAGTCCCAGTCACTTTAACCTCTCCTCATATGGGACCCGTTCCAAACCCCTAATCATTTTAGTTGTCCTTTTCTGAACCCCTTCCAAGGCCAATATACCTTTTTTGAGGTGAGGAGACCACAGCTGTACACAGTATTCAAGATGTGGGCGTACCATAGTTTTATACAGGGTCAGTAAGATATTCTGGGTCTTATTTTCTATCCCTTTCTTAATAATTCCTAGCATCCTATTTGCCTTTTTGACCGCAGCTGCACACTGTGTGTAAGTTTTCAGAGAACTGTCCACGATAACTCCAAAATCTCTTTCCTGATTTGTCGTAGCCAAATTAGCCCCCATCATACTGTACGTATAGCTGGGGTTATTTTTCC